TAAGGATACCAAGAATGAATCAAGAACAGAGCAGTGTTGCTGTAAGAACCGCAGTACTCAGTTCCCAATGAAAGCAACTCTCATTGAAACCAATGTAGGTTCAAAGAAAAATTCATTTACTGGAAAAGTAGTGCACACTCCTAAAGCATAGCTGGAACTGAGTCCCATGCACACCAAAACCATTAGAAGGGTGAAAATAAGAAGTTTGCCTTCTCCACACCCTCCAGACCAGTCACTCATCCAAGACTATTTTGGATGAGGAAATCAAACAGCAGCTTTGCTTTCTCACTGCACCTGCTTCGATGTTCTGGAGCTGAGTTACATCTTCCCAGACTCACTTCCTCTCTTGCAATACAAGCTTCTCCCTAGAGAACCAGGCCTGCTTCAGCTCATCGTGCACACCAGGGGGCTGTAATGTCCCACAGCACCCCATTAGCCATGGGGAGAAGAGGAGGAAAATAAAACCAGGATTTCTTAATGGGATTTCATTTCTTAGGCTGATTAATCTCTTGGTTGGTGACTTGAAAATTCATAGAGAGGGTCCCGTGTCAGTTCATCTCCTCAAGAAGCTACTGTTCTCTCCACAAAACCAAGGCTGAGTTCACTATTCTTCTGAGTTCACTAAAACTACTATTTACGAGAGCAATTTGAACATATCATCTAGATGGGTTTATTATTTTTTCATTATGTAAATATAATTTCTGTAATAAAGGGTCAAGGAAATCCACAAGATCAAAGCACAGAGTTGCACATTGATCTCCACAGCTATGTAAATTCAGGAGGAGGTTCCATCTCAAATTATGTATATCCACCCGTTTGGGGGAGACGGGCAGAGAGAAATTTAATTAATAAATGATAAATAAATTAATTAATATGTGCTTTAATTTTGCAAGACATGGTTTTACCTCCTACAAAATAAACCTGCCGCTTCACTTATTTCTTAGGAATTTAAAAATTATGCCTTGATTGGTGTTGGGACTTGTTCTGTATTGAAAACTATGTCTAAAGTGTAGGATGAAGGAACTCTAGAAGGTCAAAGCAGTGTGTGGCTCTTTTTCCTGCAGGTTACACCAATTCAGTTACAGCTTCCTGCTCAAAGGAGCCATAATTTCTTGGTCTCTTGCTATGTACAACAACACAAAGTTTGAGCACTTCTCTGAATGTTTTCCCATCAGTAGGA